CCCACTTTTGTATTTGTTGCGATTTCCTCTGTGTGGAGAGGGCTTCTGTCATGCCTCCAGTGTCAGCAGAGGATTTATTCCCCTTGTAGATAAAAGAGAGAGGCAAGGCCGGGACACCAACACGAGCTTTGCTCTCCAGAGCTGCTGATACCCCGGTGGCATTTGTGGGTTCAGGGGCAGCAAGGGGTGGTGGTGAGACCAAGGATTCGAGTGTCCCCACCCTGTGAAACGTCTCTGTCCTTGGCAAAACCACCCAGGGAAGCTGTTTTGGGTGGAGAAAGTTTGGGGAGAGTCCTGTGGCACGAATTGGGTTGTTGGTGGATGGGGTGTGGGGAAAGCAAAGGGGCTCGTCTTGGTGGGCCAGCGGGCAGCTGCCTGGTTTGGCAATCCCTGCCTGCACTTACACCGTGGGAGCACGTTCCTGGGACAGGCGCCGTGCTCTGACGTGCCACATCTGGTTGTAGGTATCGCATGGAGCACAGTAATGGCACCTGTGCTTCGGGACCTGAGCTCTGCCATCTGCAGAGCCTCCTCGCTCGGGCCCCTCATGAGATTAGAGCCTAAGTACCGCACCCGATTAGCCCCGGGTTTGGCAGAAGGATTTTCCAGTACCTAAATACAGAGCAGGGGCCTACTGTGTCTCATCTGGCACCTTTCAGACCAGGAAGCAAGGCTGTGTGGTGGAGGAAGTGCAAACCACACAACCCCCTGTCTGAATCCGTGTTTCCAGCTGGGTTTTGAGGACGAACCAGCAGCGTTTGGTACTGTTTGCTGCCTTAGGTGTGAGACAGTCTGAGAGCCCAAGTGCAACGTTTCGATTTGGGTAACCAAAGACACTTTTTGATTGCTGCAATACATACGCTGTGGGAAATAACTCCCAGTCCCTGCTGTCGAAATCCCCCCACATGCTCACCCAGAGCTTCCCACTGGGTTTTGGGAGCCAAGGGAGCCGGCCCCATCTGGAGTTGTCCTCCCTTGTGCTTTCCCCCCTCACCTCACAAAAATAAAGCTCTCGGATCTGGCAATGCAGTGGAAGCGCGCGTGGATCCAGGTGATAGATAAGTGGGTGCTGAGCACCGGTTTGTTACTGGATACATCTGGTGTTTCCCAGCCTCCAGGGGGGCTGAGCTGGTGGAGGACTGTCAGTCTGAGCGGGCCTCACCTTGAACAAGCCCATCTGGTTTATTTAGGTACTTCCAAAAGTCTGTTTGTGAGATTGCTCAGGTTATGGGTATTGCTAGTGTTGGTTCCTTTCCATCGAACTCGAGGAGCTGTCCGGTAGCGGGGCAGGGGGATTGCAGCGATAGGTAATGGCCCTGATGGACGATGATGCCTTTCCCGGGAGAAGGGAAAAGCATTTTCCTTCGTCAGAAAACGGACCATTGACATCCTGAGGGTAATTGGAAGATGTTTCGAATGGCACAGCCAACGCGCCCTCTTCCACCCTCTTTATCTCTCAAAGCAACTCGTGCTGGAAAGGAGATATGGGAGGAAAAATGCATAAAGCATTTAGCTGGAAAGGCTGTGGGCTGTGGGGTAGGAGCTGGCCTGGTGGTTAACCCTTCCTGTGGGGTGAAACCGGCTTCAGCCCTCGCAGCTTCATGGGTCGCATTGGCTGTGGTAGCTGGGATTTTGGATGGTGGTGGCTTCTTCCAGGGCACTGGTGAGGTGTTGCCGTTAATTTAAGGAGATTCCAAGGGATTGCAGCTACACTGGAGCGTAAAGAAAATATTTGCTTTCCTAAATGGACTTTTAAATAGAAAATAATTATAATTGTTGCTTCCCTAGGTGTAGTGAGTTGGACCTCTGGGTTTTTCAGCATTTTCCTACATGCTGGCAACTCCTCTGTCAGGTTGGTTTTTATCCTGGCTGAAGTAGAGCCCTTACCCATGCCACAGCACCTGGGAATGCAAAACCTCATCTCACCTTATGCCACCCTGATTTTTTTCCAGGTCACGATGGCTTTGCTCATAAATCAGGGAGGATTTTTCTCAGTGCTTTTACCTGTGAGCCCAGTGTGGGGGTGAAGTGGTATTGGTTGGACTGAACTCATTAGTGGCAAGCTGGGAGTTGGCAGCTCTGATTTATGAAGCAAAGCGATGCCAACTGCATATGCAGGGGCTGGGAGGATTTTGTTTGTCACATCTGACACCTGCAGCATCCTGACGTGGAGGTGACCTGGGAAAACATGTCCATCTCCTTTGGAAGGGGCAGCTTCCAGCATCTGCCCTTGGATGTGCTCACAAAGCCACCTTGTGCTGTCAGTTTGTGGTGTTAAAATTGGTAAGAAATCAGTTGTGTTTATTGCAGCTCCATGGTGGATGGCTTGGCTTATCCCAGGATCTTGGTGTGTGCCTGACCTGGCTGGCTGGGGATCTGCCAGGTCTTGCCCGTGCTCCTCCATGAGGAGTTAAAAAAACCCCATCACGCATTTGTCATCAGAATCAATAGCAGTGTCAGCAGCGCTTTGCTGTAATTACTTTTGCTGTCATGTCAGAGCTCCAGTCTCCCCTCCTCGGGTGGAGGTAAAGCCCTTTCCTGGTGGTGAAAGGTGAGATGCCCCCCCCCAGGGACGGCTCAGCAGCGCTGCATGGTGCTGATCCCCTCAGAGCTGCAGCTTCATGGCTGCTCCTCTCTCAGCTCTGCTGCAGGTGCTTAATGCACTTCTGGAGGAGAGGGGGGGCTTCTCATCGAGCCCCTTTTTGTGGAGCAGCTCACCCTGCTTGTTCCTTGTGCTGATGAGCAGATGCTTTCTGTTTCCTGGTGTTTCACATGGGACTCTGCTGATGGATGGGAATCTTTTTCCCCAGCAAATGCTGTCTGCAGAGTCTCTGCTGCAGCTGAGGTTTTGTCTGGAGGAAAGCCCTCCCCATCTCAGCTGCTCCGCGTCCTGCACACCAGAGGTCTCTGCTCCGCAGGGCGACAGCTGCCCCTCACATCGGGTTTCTGCGCCGTGAGTGTCAGTGGCCCCGCTGTCCACAGACGTCTCCACACCCAGCCCTCCTGGCTTCATCCCTCAAAAAAACATTTCTCTATCCACTTTTCCCTGGTTTCAAAACCCAATTGCTGCTCAACCCAGGGATTTTTTTTAAACTTTATTCCCCTCTTGACTCTCTACTTTTCCTGGCCTTGCTGAAATAAATAGTTGGATGCTGCTCCAACATATTTTCCAGCGTGTTTCTTCTTTCTTTTCCCTGCTCCACCCTCTTCACTGCTATCTTGTGTTTGGTAAAGACATTAAGTTGGTCTGGGAGCAAGCAGTCCTCAGGGGGTTTCCAGGCTTGCCGATGCTCTCGGTTCACTGTCTGCTTCTGGGCAGATCAGAGCCATGTGGTTGTCCCTGCTGTGAAAGCAGGAATTGTTTTGGGGGAAGAAAATGCCCCTATATCGTAGAGTAAAAAAAATACTGGCTTGGATCCATGAGCTGAGATTTGGGGAAAGAAGAGTAAGATGTCTACAAGTGCAGAGGAGGGCAATGAGGCTGGGGAAGGGCCTGGAGAACAAATCCTATGAGGAGCGATTGAGGGAGCTGGGAGTGTTTAGTGTGAGGAGGAGAAGGCTGAGGGGAGACCTCATCACTCTACAGCTGTAGAGAGGTTGGTGCTGGTCTCTTCTCACAGGTAGTTGGTGACAAAACAAGAGGGAATGGCTTTAAACTGCAAAAGAGGAGGTTCAGACTGGACATTAGGAAAAAAATTTTTCCCAGAGAGAGTGGTCAGAGTGGAACAGGCTGCCCAGGGAGGGGGGAGTCCCCATCCCTGGGGGGGTTTAAGGGCCGTTTGGATGAGCTGTGGGGGGATGTGGGGTAGGGGAGAACTTTGTAGAGTTGGGCTGAGGGTTGGATTCGATGATCCTGAGAGGCTTTTCCAGTCTGAATGATTCTGTGATTCTATGTCCGTGGGCCCAGGGGTACAGGGGCACGTCCCACAGCATCCAGGCTGGTGGGGTGTCCCTGGGGCAGACCCAGTCCCACAGAGCTCGTAACAGTTTCCAGCCAGCTCTGCTCTGGTGTGGGTGATGGTGCCTGCCAGTGGTGGGCTCTGTAGTTTGTGCTGTGGATGTGCTGCTTGATGCAAAGAGCAGCTCCCACCTGGGATTCTCCATGGCTTTCCTCACTCTGGCCTCTCCCTGTCGAGCCAGACGTGGGTTATCCGCCTCAGTGAAAACAGAAGAGGAAAGATGCTGTGGTTTTACTGCAAAACAAACTCGCAGCACTGACAGGGACAGGGCAGAGCTGAGCAATGCTGGTGGTGTATGGGCCAGCCCCCCAACTTGCTTTGCAAAAGGTTCCTCGTATGTGTTGGCAGTTGGCAAAGCACCCCTGGCCTGGTGTTCCCCCTTTTCCCCTCTCATCCCTCCACTTGGTACTGCTCCAGCTGTCTCTGGGGTTGAATTTCCACCTGAGCCATGACTCTCAGAGGCTGTAACCTTGTTTTGGGACCATTGGCAGGGAGGCTCCTGGCTTGGGGCATCCCAGATCTGCAGCAGTAATGTTGCCTGTCCTGTGGCAGGATGTCTCACACAAGGGTGAGAGCACATACGTCGAGCCCAGAGCAGGCACTTCCCCTGTGTTTTGTTGTCAGGTCACTGCCAGATTTGCCCATCAGTGAGACTGGGCTTGGTGTGGGGTTTCACGCCTGTGGCTGCTTTGGGGTGATCATCCTCTGGATGTCCAGGGCTACCCTGCATCCCTGGAAGGAGGAGTGATTCCCTGGCGCAGGTGCTTCCCACCCTGTGCTCCCAAAGAGATTTGCTGCTCAATCTTTATTTTCCAGCTCCAGCGTTACAATATAATACTTTTTCAATATAACATCCACCCATCTCCCTAGACCATCACCTCTGCAGGTGGGGTGACAGTTGGTGCAGTGCCCTTGGCTCCAGCCCCTCTGTGGCACATGGACCTGCTGTGGTGCTTTATTTCCAAGGCTGGACTAGCATTTG